GGACACTCTGTTCAGTGCTAGCTACAGTATATTCAAGAAAAAAATTATGGTATTATATACATAAGAACTATTTTTTTTAAGTTTTAACACCCCCCTGTAATTTTAAAGCTATACATTTCCGTTTTTATAGGAACTTTTTTTAATTTTTTTCTTGATGAGAAATCAATTAAGTACTTACTTAGGTACTTAATATTTTTGCCAGTTAATGACATAAAAAAAGATTGCGCTATTAAACTTGAATTAAGGCAAATTAATATAATTGTGTTTATCTCATGAAGGAGACCGAAATCTACATAATATCAAGAGGCAACTTTTAATCGGCATTAAACGGCCTACACAACTGTGCTAACAAGGAAAAAAAGTCAATGGCGCACATGCTTTTTTTTTGAAAAATATTCCAGTGATAAATCATATGCCCGGGCGAATCTGTCGAAACTTTTTTAGCATTAAAATATATAGCACTTATAGTAACTTTAACGCTCAAATTTTCATTCCAATCACTAAAAGCATTTGGTAGAGAAAAAAATTAATACTTTAACCCTCTGTAGATACGAGTCAAAACACATGTTTTTTGAAACACTCTGTATAGATTGAAATTAGTTTTACCGACTAATTAATCTGAATCCTAAATTTAGGAAACCATATTTTTATCACAACTTGCTATTTTTGTGAGTATTTCAGAGTCAAAGACACGCTGTTAAATTAGAGAGCCAAACTGTCTAGGCCTTGTGAATGATGCACATATGTATGCGTGTATTTCTAAACGAATCCAAGAATAAATCCCGATTCAGTGTCATCCGAAGTCGCAAAACAGCCAAATTGCGAACGCTAAACACCTGCGGTCCTTGTCCAATGAGTTCCAAGTACGAGAGAATTAATTCTCTACAAAAAAAAATAATTAGTACAAATAAAAATAGACCTTAAGTAAGTATATTAATATTGTAGTGTTGTATGTGGTTACGTGGTAACATTATATACCGGGTGCATCACAAAAGTGGCTCACCCCTTTTTTATTTTTTTAGATGAAAAGACGAGATTTGGTATGTTAGAATATGACATAAATTAAATAACTACAACTTTTGATTTTGAAATGTCACTCTCAGTATTTTTTTACTTTATTCGATAGAAAATAACGCTCGAAATGACGAATTTTTTACGTAAAAAAGGTCTCTTGGTAAAAATCGCTACGAGTAACCGTTCTCATGATATTTGAAGTGGAAATTATGAATACAGTCAAAATTGACAAAAATTAAACATGTTGATTAAATAGTTATTTGACTGAAATGATAAATTTGGATTTTTTTTATTTTTTAATTATCAATTTTTCTATAAAAAAAGCTAGACAAAACAGTTTTTGTTGAAATTTTACACAAAAACATTTCCAAAATTATTTCCAATCTTTTTTTTCTATCTAATAACTATCTAGAGTCAACAGTTATAATTTTTCTCAATGATGACATTTATTTATTATTTCGATTTGAAATATCTTGAGAAATATTACGTGTAGCGCTTTTTACTAAGAGACTTTTTACGAAAAAAAAACGGCGGATATGTATATTATATTAATAAAGGTACGGATGAAAAGTTATTAATCTTTAAAACAGTTAATAAATATGTAAGTGACAAGTAGGAGTCATACTGACATCGAAATCAAATTTATTATGTCAAAAAAACACCCAGACACCAATTTTCATCCAAATATCAAGGTTAGTTCAGAAATTAATTGGGAAACATTGATTTAAAAATTAAACTTATACACTCTGTATCTCCTAAACGAAGTATTTTAGGACATACATTTATAAGACTTTTTTTACTTATTGTTATCTGCGGAATAATACAATTCAGAGCACCCTGTATACAGGGTGTTTTTTGGTGTCTCTTAATAACATGTTAACGTTTAAGGGGGTGATTCTGGACCTATTTAAAAAAATCATATGAATGTCAGCCCTAAACATTTCAACTTTTGAGATACAGGGTGGTAAAATTTTCTAAAATATCACTTTTTTTCATAACTCTGAGGTTATTATAATTATCTTTACGAAATTTCTACATGTCTTCTATGCATAAAACTGTTTTTTTGGAGTACAATTTTTTTTATTGTGTCTCTTAATTTCCATCCAGCCGATGCAAAAAAGATTTCTACACAACAGTCACTGCCTCAGATTTTTAGTGATTTGACCCTGTAGTAAAATGACTTTTATTTTTTTAACAAAAACTATGCTTCTGACGAAAAGAAATCAGGAAATGAAAATTGTTTAGAAATTAATGAGGATTTTGAACATAATTTTTATTCTAAAAGAAGTACCATTTTTTCCTTAAAAAATATTCAATTGAAAATCCAGGTATGGACGCCACTGGTAGAAACAATAAAATTGTTTGTACATCAACCAAATTTCTTAAACATATCTATAATAATATCGGAGTTTATCCATGGAAAAAAAATTCTTTAGAAAAATGTACCACCCTTTATCTCAAAAGTTGGGACGTTAAGGACACACAGTCATATGAAGTTTTTTCTTAGAATATGTTCAGGAATCATCCCCGTAAATATTACCATGTCATTAAAGAACACCCGTATGAATGTAGGTATTGTCAAAAATACTATGTTTTACTGTCCTACAGCTCTTTTAGGTTGACAAACATGTAGACTGCAAAAATTAGTTAGTTAGTTTTTCTTTTTTTTATATAGGGTGGCGCAGATTCAAATGCTCTTTCAAACTATATTAGGGTTTCCTATACCTATCTAGCTCAGATTTTTAATAAAGAGCAATTTTTCAATAAAATGACAGTAGCTATTTTCAAAATTGAAATTAGTTTATGGACTAATTTAAATTTATACCAGTTTACTTTTATTTAATTTACACCTACAATAATTTAACAAATAATATTTATTAAATAGCCATGGCACTCTAGATTGAAATTTAAAATACGATTTTTTTTCCGGCGAAAATATCAAAAGTTTACTATTTTCTATTGAATAAAGTAAAAATATACAGAGGGTGCCATTTAAAAATCAAAAGTTGTAGTTATTTTCGGCGAAACAGGTAGTGACCGAAACCAATTGAATATGTCAATCAATCCTAATTTATGTCATATACTAACATACCAAATCTCGTTTTTTTATCTCAAAAAAATAAAAAAGTTATAGGGGTGAGCCACTTTTGAGACGCACCCGGTATCTATAAATTAAAACCATACTACCAGCTCTGCGAAATAGGACAAGTAGTTTTTCAAACGAACGCTTATCAGGAAGATTCCTATTTGGATATCTTTGAGCATAAGCCCTTGAAACCAAGAAGCAATTTTCCGCACAATATAAAATCATCATTAGTAACATATCCATTCGTTCTGCCAGCAGATACTGCTTTATATTTCTTAATAAAATAATGAATACTTACTCATTAACCTATTGTGGGTAAATTTAAGTAACCTAACCTAACCTAACTGTTATTAATCAAAATAATAATGTCCATAAACTAATGTCGATTTTGAAGATAGTTACTGTTACTAGAAAATTGTCATGGCGACACCAGACACCAGACATTTATTTAAAAATCGCTTTTTATTCAAAATCTGAGCTAGATAAGTATAGGAAACCCTAATATAGTTGGAAAGAGCATTTGAATCTGCTTCGATTTATTTAAAAAATACGGGGTGTTGCCTTTGAAATAACGAAGTTTTTATATAAAATAAACTATTAAAATAGATCAGAAATTCTTGGCACCCCTGTATAAATTTAAGGAAGCAATAACATTTTTCAGAAAGTTTATTTCTCTATATACCTTTAAACTCAGCACAAAAATTAATTCTGAAAAGTAAAGTACAGGGTGGTAATAATCTATTCTATTGTAGCATGCATATTTAAATATCTTTAAGTAGGTATCTCAAAACCAAAGATTTTAAACATATTTTTTCCTTATAGTAAATGCTTTTTTTTGGGCCCAAGAACCCAAAAATTAAATAAAATAATTAACACTAATTTTTAATCAAGGAGCCTTGGAAAATAGATTTGATCGTCTAACGTTTTTAGTGTCTTGTCCGGACCGGTTAAAAGATGCCTAAATCGCGTATTTTTAATCATATCTCAATTTTTTCAAATGGGACGAGGGTCATTAGCATATTTGGAAAAAACATTTTTTTACGAATAATTTGATACCACATACTTGATATTTGAGTTATCTTTGCATTATGAATCGCATGTTATAATTTCAAATAAACCATATGTGCAAATGTCAAAAGGTGACATATGATATGTCATTCTATTCAGAGTGTTTTTTCTATCGAATAAAGCAAAAAAATACCGAGGGTGCCATTTAAAAAACAGGAATTGACCGAAAACAATTGAATACGTGAATCAGTCCTAATTTATGTCATATACTAATATACCAAATCTCGTTTTTTAAACTGAAAAAGTAAAAAAGTTATAGGGGTGAGCCACTTTTGAGACGCACCCGGTATACAGCGTGACTTATATGTAAGATAACACACTAGTACCATAAATAACTATTTTTATTTTGCTTTAACATATTTGTCAAAATCCAGAAATCCCCTCTCTATATACCCATCGAACAAACGTTATGTTCACATGGTACCTCACCAACTTCCACATCGGTAGTACGGACCGGACATTAATATTCATACTCAGTCAGAATCGAATACTTAATTAGAATACTTAAGGTCAGAAACGGAAGTAGCAGCCGAAGTACCTAAGCCGCACCACCGACCGTATGTGGCTTTCCACACAAACCGATAGTCTTTTTTGACCGGTCGATGGTTACGAAACGTACCGTCGCCGTAGTAGCGTAAACATTCTGCGGTTTCCATCGTAGAAAACAATACAACGACGATTAAACACACTCGGTTAATCGATTAAAGCGAATTTCCGCGAATGCTTTTTATTTTCACGACGCGATAGAAAGTTATTTTGGCGGCAAAAAACTTCCCTCGTTTCCCGAGCGTCGTCCGGATGCTGGACGCGGTCGGTGTGCGCAATCGCGAGCGCGTCTCCGAAGCCGACTTTGATGTAATTTGAAAAGCGAATGGGCCGTTAGTCGCGTGTTGCGCGCTTTTGCGGGAGCTTTAAATCTAGCGGAAGTTGGGCAGCGCAAAGTTCTGTCTCGACGGACTTCTCGTCCGAGGTATTATGTGGCGAAAGTTCGTTTCCGTTTTTTCCAGTTTGGTTCTACTTTTGGGATAGATCGGCTTGGATATATATTTACACGCATGGCGGAACTTAAGGCGTTAGGGGTAAGTTTTAACCCTCTTCAAAATATACACGCGCGCGGATGTTATGATTTACGTATTCTCTGTATTCGTATTCGGCAGTTATGTTAATTATAGTTTTGTAATGTTCTGTATGTAATATATAATTTTAGCAAAGCAAACCTACAAAAATATTAAAGCTTTATTCGAAATTAGTGGTTGAAATTATACTTTATACTTAGGTTTACGATCATTCACAGAAAAATACAATTATAATCAATAGAAAACCCTAGCAACAGCTTGCGGCAGACAGTTGTATCCATAGAGAAAACCTAATAATTAGCTTATATAAAACAATAAACTCTTTTCATTTCTAACCATATTTTTTCTTGATGGATGGCGATCAAAGGCCAGGATCAGTGGCGGATACAGAGGGGGGGAGGCGGTCATTCAGAACATCAAAATTAGTGGTGGTAATTTTCAATTAGTAGAACAAGTTGAGTTGACAAACTCTCAAATTTTTCCATTGACGATAATTCAAAATTTGCGAATAATGTAATAAAAGAAAGAGTTTCTAAAACCTCTTTATTATTCACTCTGCAGGTATAGTAAATTTTAAAACAATTAGGTTGTTATTGTTAGCTACTAGAATTCTGATAAATATTATGTGTAAAAGCAATTAAGTAGAGTAATATGAAACTAAATGTTATGTTTATTTCATATACAGGGTGAGTTTCCTACGATGTTCTCTCGGAAACTACTGGAGATAGAGAGTCGGTTAAATGGGGAAAGAATTGCAGTTTGTGGGGTCATAAACATGCGCCTTTCAGATTTTTGAAAAAGTTTATGACTTACTAGATATTTTGAAAAAAACAAATTTCGGCTATTTTAAAAATTGTCCCTAATACCATTATAATCTATTTTAGAGAAAAAGTTTTCAGATAAAAGTTGTAGATAATCACATCCTTAATGAGATTGTGTCCTCCGTTTTTTTTCTAAAGCCTGTCATTTTTGACATATGACACAAACATATGTTTTTTTAAATGGAAACCATAGTTGGCGCCATTTTTTAAGCTTTTTAGCGATACAAGCTATAATATGTTTCTTTCGAAAAATTACTAAGTTATAGCCAATTCTTATAATTTTTAAACAATTTCACTTAGTTAGCCATGGAAACAAGTTCAATCGTCGTTGCTTTCAGAAATGTGAAACTGTCACATCCAAACTTTATGAGAATTAAGAGAGGCACTTGAAGAGGCGGTACGGGAGAAGTTTAATAAAGTCGACCGGCCGTAGTCAACCGTTCGTTCTATAGAAATTCATAAGTTCTTTTGTGACCCTTATTGTTAACCATACCGCCTAAAAAAATCTAAAATGGATAGGTCAGGTGATCGAGGAGGTCCATGCAATTGGTCCACCTCTTCCTATCCATGAGTTTGCATAATTATGATATAAATAATTTTTAACATTTCTTTTATTATTATGGGGAGTGTCATAATGAAAGTCATGTTGGAACCATTCTATTGAAGCGCAAGTATCTAAATTTAACTTTTTTAAAAAACGTAAGTAACGTTCACCGGTCAACGTATCCTCGAAAATGTATGGCCAAGAAAAGTTGAACCAATAATCCTACACACTTTTCTTCATTTTAAAAATTCATATTTACAATTTTTGTTTATTTTAATTTATAAAGTTTGGATGTGACAGTTTCACATTTCTGAGAGCAACGACGATTGAACTTGTTTCCATGGCTAACTAAGTGAAATTGTTTAAAAATTACAAGAATTGTCTATAATTCAGTAATTTTTCGAAAGAAACATATTATAGTTTATATCTCCAAAAAGCTTAAAAAATGGCGCTTTTTATGAAGTCATGGCCAACTATGGTTTCCATTTAAAAAAAAACATATGTTTGTGTCATATGTCAAAAATGACAGGCTTTAGAAAAAAACGGAGGACATAATCTCATTAAGAATGTGATTATCTACAACTTTTATCTGAAAACTTTTTGTCTAAAATAGATTATAATGGAATTAGGGACAATTTTTAAAATAGCCGTAAAATTTGTTTTTTTCAAAATATCTAGTAAGCCATAAACTTTTTCATAAATCTGAAAGGCGCATGTTTATGACCCCACAAAACTGCAATTCTTTCCCTATTTAACCGACTCTATATCTCCAGTAGTTTCCGTGATACCTATAGAGAACATCGTAGGAAACGCACCCTGTATTTACATAAAACATAAGATGATGAAAAAAGAAAAAAATATAAAACATAAATCTGTATATCCATTTCGTGGAACACTATAAAATCGAACATGTTGTGGACCAATGCTCATTTGATTAATTGACTAGCCTGTAAAATTAATGCGCTCGTCAAAATTTTTGAGTGATTGACGTTTATGTTTATTTTTTATTTACTTTAAAATAAAAAAAGGATTTTTCATCAAGATTAATTATTCATCTGTCGGGTTAAAAATATTAGGAAACTGAATAGGTTCAGAAAGATAATATGTGATAATTTTGAAAAAGACATAAGATGAAATGAAATAATCCAGTGAGAAATAACATTGGAATATGTTTAATTCCTAACGTCTAAGTTCAAAGTCTGTTTGATAGCAGAGTTTTTTGATTTTAAGGTAGGTACATAATTATAGTATGATCGAAAAACAGGCACCAAATTGGCTAGGAGATGAGGATCGACGACAACCTCCATATAATTTTACACATAAAATGACAGCGATCTTCATATTCAAACCATATTTGTCAATATTTTTTTTTATCGCATGGTGGATAGAAATGGTAATGATGTCCTTTACTGCTGAAAATTGAATATGGGTAAATGTTATGAATATTAAACAAAAGAAAATTAATTATACATATAATAAGCAGATATCATACCGTTTGATTTATAAAAAAAAAGTTTTTTACATTTCATGTTTCAGAACAAACAATGTCGAAACTAGCGATATACAGGGTGGTCCGAACTGTATTCCGGAAACTTCCGAAGCAGATTCTGCAGATGAAAATAAGTAAAAAATTTCGTATAAATATATGTCTTAAAATGCTTAGTTTCAGAGATACAGGGTGTAGAAGTTTCATTTTTATTTCGATTTTTTGCAAATAATTTCTGAAGTAACGTCAATATTTGGATGAAAATTGGTGTTTGGGAGTTTTTTGATATGAGAAATTTGATTTTGATGTCAATATGACTCCTACTACCGAGAAAAAAAATATACATCTCTGTGACTTTTCAAGCAAAAAATATCTCTTTGTAAAAATCGCTACGAGCAACCGTTCTCAAGATATTTAGAATGGAAATAGTCAATACATGTTATTATTACGAAAAATAAACACGTTGAGTAGGTAGTATTTCATTGAAATAATAAATTTGAGAAATTTTTATTTTTTTTAATTAATAACAATGTTAAAACAGTTTCTATTGACTTTTGGCACAAAAAAAATTTCAAATTTATGATTTCAGTCTAATAACTATTTAGTCGACATGTTTAATTTATGTCAATTATGATAGGTATTGATAATTTTGATTCCAAATATCTTGAAAACTATTACTCGTAGCGATTTTTACCAAGAGACCTTTTTTACATAAAAAACGTCATGAATGTATATTTTTTTACTCAGTAGTTTTATACAGGTACGGACATAAAGTTATTACTCTTCAGCCAGTTAAAAAATAAGTAGGTGGCGCCCTCTACTAGTAGGAGTCATATTGACATCAAAATCGAATTTTTCATGTCAAAAAACTTCCAGACACCGATTTTCAGCCAAATATTGACGTTACTTCAGAAATTATTTGGAAAAAGTTAAAATAAAAATGAAACTTCTACACCCTGTATCTCCGAAACCTAGCATTTTAGGACATACATTTATACGAGCTTTTTTACTTATTTTTATCTGCAGAATATGCTGCCGAAGTTTCCGGAATACAGTTCGGACCACCCTGTATAATACATATTTAATACATTAGGAAAGCATATCGGGAAGCATTAAGAGTTAACATCAAATATTTTCTTTAATACAACGATATAGAGTTAATCTCGGAGTTAATAAAACTTCTTGTAAGTGTTATTATACGATTAATTTACTCACTGTGGAAGCTCAAGTTGTGTATATCTATATATGCATGTGGGTTATGTAAAGGACAAATAGCTTAACATCATTTATTTATGACCCCCAGAATAAGTTGAAAACAGTTTAAATTTATTCGTTATAACTCATCATACAACCGAGGCATTCAGGCCACAAAAGCCGGTATCTCAGACGGTTTTCCATCTCCGATATCAGTCGTATCAATGTTTATCGCACGAATGGTTGTGGTCTCAGCGCACTCAGTAATCAATTTACTGAGTTGTTCATTGAGTAGATAGTGTCCTGTTAAAAACCCCGCGATAATCCAATGATTGTTCTTACTTAAATGAAGAAAAACCTTTGATCGTCTCAGACCTGAGAAATGTCTGCGAGTGACATAGACAATTGGAGCATTCACATTCCAGGTGGAGTCTTCCAGGTTCTTGAGTTCTACTTTAAGTTGGTTTCCACTTGGGAAGCGTAACTGTTCTGATCCATTTAGTGGAGCGTTTTTTAGCCAGATATATGTATATAAACGGGATTTGGTTTAAGTATTTAATACTCATTTCCAACTACAGCCTATTGCTGCCTTCCCGTTACCCTACGCCACACATCTCGATTTAGAGCGTCATCAGCTTCTAGGTTTCGAGCTTCCATTGCTTCCTTAACTGTTCTGTTCCAGGATTTTCTAGGTCTACCTCTCTTTCTTCTGCCCTGGGGAGCCCATTGAAAAACTTTTTTTGCTCACCTGTTCTCCGGCATACGCAGAACACGTCCAAACCACTTTAAGCTGGATTTTTCGATTCGATCTAGTACTGTTTCCTCCGATGCATTCATGATACGCCTGACCTCGATGTTTGTCTTTTTTTCATCCTAGATATACCTGCGCTTCTTCTAAGGTAGTCCATTTCAACAACTTGGATTTTGCGCTTCGTGTCTGCACTCAGAGTCCCAAGCT